GAAACGTCCAGAACAGGCAAATCCATCAGACCAAAGGCAGGGTGGTGGTTGCCAGGGGGAGGGGGATGGAGAGTGACTGTGGGGATGGGGTCTCCTTTTGGGGTGATGGAAATATTCTGGACCTGGATGGAGGTGATGGTTGTATATAACGTGGCATATGTACTGTATGCTACTGAATTGTACATGCTAAAAGGGTTCATTTTATGTTATGTGACTCTTACTTCGATGAATAAGTTGAGAAAGACCGAAAAAGCAGTCACGGACCTTCCTGGTGGGGCACGTGTGCGTGCACAGCTGTCTCCCCCAGAGCCCCAGGTTTCCGATCCTTTCCAGAGAGTATTCACTCTCTACCTTCCCTCTCATGGGTGGTTCTTTGCCTCTCTGTACTTGGGCAGCTGGCCATTCTCCCTTGGGCCTCATTTTACCTGAGGAGGTGAGGGGGGCAGGTAGTCCTGTGTGGTTGCGGGAGAAAAATTGTCCCTGCCTGGGACTCTGAGTGCATCCTACACTCACATGTTCATCCAGACAAAGGTTCCGCCTGTGGATGCCAAGCCACTCCATTGTGCCAGGGTCCTTGTGGGGCTGACGGTCTGGTGAGAGGAGATGGACCTCAGTCAGGTGGGTTTGGACAGTGAGCTGTGGAGGAGGCGATCCTGTGGAGGTGAGGGGCACAGTGTTGGGCTGACCCAGTGGAGGAAGTGATGCCAGTGCGAACACCCTGAGGCTGCGACCTGCTCTGGTGGTGGAAAGCAGAGGGCCAGACCATGCAGGCCTTTTTTGGTGTTGGAGGGGGGTGGTATTAGGGTCCACTTGGAGCACAGAGCTCCTCCCTGGCCCTCTGCAGCCCGGCCCCCATGGCTGCCTTGGCTTTGCAGAGGACAGAGCTCAGCCTTCAGCAGGTCTGCTCCCCTTAATCTCATTAGAAGGCCAGCCAGTTGCCACGACAATTGCTGGGAGGGGTGGGGGGTGGGGGGGAGCCAAGGCCAGCTTCATCTATAGAGTGAGGACTGGGAGGAGCTGGCAGGTAGGGGTGTCGCTGCATCCTGTGTGGGGTCCTGGAGGACTGGGGGCTGCCCTGGAGAACTATGTGTCTTTGTCACGCCAGGCCTTTCCAGGGCCGCCGGCCCCCATTCCCCAGCCTTGTGGCTTCCCCTCTGCCTGGCTGGTGGATACTGCCAGGGTGGAAGGGGGGAGGAGGTGTGTCCAGCAGGCCAGCAGAGGGTGTGAGCATGGACAAAGGTGGGGGATGTGTACTGTTCTGGGGGAAGGGAGGCAGTCCAGGCATGGGCTGTGTCAAGAAGTGGGGGTGGCCTCCCTGGAAACAAGGGTCTTCGGGCTGAGGCAGGACCCCAAGTGGCTTTTTGCAGAGAGACTGTGTTGGGTCCCACCTTGACAGAGTCAGTGTGGTAGACTTGTCATCGGATCGGTGCTCTGACTGGAGGCTCCCAGAGGAACTGGTGTGCTCTCATCCACGATGCCACATGGTCTCTGACGCTGTGGCGCCAGCTGCCTGCTGGTCTGCAGGGTCATGCGGGGGTCAAGTTCCAGAAGTGAAGTCCGTGCCCTGCTCGGCCACTTCTAAGCTGGGTGACCTTGGGCAGTTCCCTTGCCTGGCCAATCTTGCTTTTCCCATCTGGAAAGTGGTGTGTGCTGGTGCTCCCCTCAGAGGGCCTCTCTTGGGTTGACTTGTATCCCCCCAAAACCTGTGTCCATGTGTTTACCCCAGAACCTGGGAATGTGACTTTATTGGCAGGAGGGTCTTTGCAAATGTAATTAAGGGGCTCAAGATGAGATCATTCTTGATTAGGGTGGGCCCTGAATCCAGTGACAGGTATTATAAGAGAAAGTAGAGGGAGAATTGAGGCACACGCAGGGAAAGGCCATGAGGGGATGGAGGCGGAGGCTGAAGGGATGTGGCCACAAGCCCAGGAGCCCTGGAGCTGCCAGGAGCTGGGACAGACTCTCCCTCAGACCGTCAAGAAGGAACCAACCCAGCCCACACCTTCATTTTGTACTTCTGTCTCCTGAACCATGAGAGAGTAAATTCTTACTGTTTTAAGCCACCCTGTTTGTGGTCTTTTGTTACGGTAGCCCTGGGACACTGAAGGTAGGACTATTGTGGTAGCGTAAATGTGCTGGGAAGGGCTCTGTGCCCATGGTGGGGGCTCAGGGACACCGGGGGTGCCATCTGTAATGCTTGGCATGGGGAAACGTTGAGCGCAGGGTGGCCAGGGTCTGCGCTGAGCTTCGTGGCCATCGATCGTGGATGGCGTCAACCCTGAGATACCTCTGTCCCCTAGGGCCTGATGCTGCTTGTTTAGTCGGTTCAAATCTCAGAGCAAGAGGGTTTGAGAGGCATGGACTGGGAATATTGTTCTGGAAAGATCCGAGGCTGCAGCAGGCTGGGGGGAGGTAAGGCAGACACGTGGTAGTACTTACTGGGGGTCCAGCATGACCACGCACGGTCCTGGCGCCAGACACAGTGTGACCAGCAGACCATGAGTCTTGGGTCCCCGCCATCTGGTGGGGACCAGATAGGAATGGTGGAGAGGGTCCTGGAGCAAGGGTGTTTCCAGTGCAGCAAACCTGATGAGGCACACTGGAGGCTTCACACAAGTGGGTCTGGATCGGCCAGGCGGGCCGCACCACCGCCACTTTCCTAATTTTGCCCCAGTAAGGCAGGAGGGTGGCTTTAGCGGAAGCTGGCTGAGGGGTGTTGGGGAACAGTGTACCATCTTTGCAGTTTTTCTGTAAATCTGAAACTTCTGTGATGAAAACTTTATTAAAAACAATACAAACCAAGCTAGAGGCTGATGTGATAGTGACTTGGAGGGGCTACTCCTTGGGTGGGGTGTCAAGGAGGCCCCTGTGGGATGGGCATGGAAGGGGGGCTGTCACAGGCCAAGGCCCTGGAGATGCATAAAGTCAGGGTGCTTTGGGGCCAAGGAGTGGGGAGAGCGGAAGATAGGGAGGTTATGGCAAAAGCATGGGTAATGGGGTACCCATCCACCCTCAGCCCAGGCCCTCTGAATCTGGAGTGGGGTCCACTCTCATAGTTGGGAGGCCGGGACTCCTACTCCAGGATATCCGACCACAGGCCACAAGCAAGGGGGCGCCCTGAGAGATGCAGGTCTCCTATTTGAGCGTGTGGCCTCCAGCACCTGATGGCCTTGTCTGGGCCTCTCTGCACTGCCCTTTCCAACAGCCATGAGGATGGGATGGGGGTGGGGGGAGGCATCCAAGCCCTGTTTTGACCTTGAGCCTCTAATTGTGTTGGAGGCCTTCAGAAAGGCGCTTGTGTGGCCTCCAGATGGGCCTGTCACCTGGCTTGTGAAAGTTGGCCCTTGAGAGCAGGAATAGTGGTGTTCATTCATTAACTCACTCACGTGTTCATACACGTATTTGTTCCATGAGCAGATGCTGCTGAGTGACAGCCCTGGCTTGGATGCTGGGTTTGCGGAGCTCTGTTGGCGAGGCTAGGGACAAGTGCCATCATGGGGGGCACAGAGTGAGGACTGCTGGGTGGAAGGATGCACGAGGGGCTGTGACTTGGCAATAGGAAGAGGCTTGAGTTTCAACATTCAGCAGCTCATCAGGTTCTGCCTGGTGGTGTCACTCTGCTGTCTTTTCTTCCCGTGGGCCCTCTGAGCAGCAGGTTCTTGGGCAGGGCCCCACTTCTCACCTCGGTACCCTGCTCCTGGGGGTTCCTGACAAGACCTTGGATGGCAGTCAGCTCCTGCAAAGTTAGGGGGTCCCCAAGACCATACTCAGATCAGCAGGTCACTTGAGAGACACAGGACTCACTGGAAGCTGTTACACTCACAGTTAGGGTTTATGACAAGCGAAAGGACACAGGTTACGGTCAGCAAAGGGAAGGGTGTCTGGGGTGGAGACACCCAGGGTGTTCCGTGCATGGAACTTCTGGGTGTCCCCTGTCTGTGGAGTCTTGTGGACAGCTTTCACTTTTCCTGGCACCAGTGTGTGACAACAGGCATGGTGTACTACCGTCCAGGGATGCTCCCTGAGCCTCGGTGTCCAGGGTTTTTACTGGGGCTCACTCACACGGACCCGGCTGACTGCCACACGGGTGATCTCTGTCTCTAGCCCCTGCAGGGGGCAAGCTGATTCCACGTGGCCTAAGACCCCTACCCTAAATCACACCCTTGGCATAGACCACCCAGCGTGGCCCAAGATCCCAGGCAAACAAAGATAGTCTTGTCAGGCAGAATATTCAGAGGGCTTCCACCTCTCAGGAGCTGGGGACAAAGGCCAGACTTCTCTAGGCCAGGTGGACACTTTCCTGTGCTGCCAGTATGCAACCAGGGACAGGCACAGGGTCCCCCAAAAGAAGTGCAGGGCCCCACACACCTTCCACTGCAAACCTAGAGGCTGTCCTCCGAAGCCTGACAGTCCTGTAGCAAAGTGGGGAGGTGGGCGGGAGGCTGTTGCTAGAAAGAAAGGCTCAGACAGAGGTGGGGCCTGGGAGGGTTGGTGTCACGGCAGTGTGCGAGCCTGAGCATCTTCTCAGTCCCCAGTCCTGTAGATCGTCCCCAACACCAGGCTCTATCTGGCCTGGAACATGGCGGCTTTGTGGAGTGCTTGGACAGGATGCTCGGGCTCCCTGAGCTGACAGTTCAGCCTGTGGTGTAAGCACTTTCTGTGTCACATGGCAGGCATTCCCACCTACTCCTGGACAAATGGGAGGGGGAAACCGAGGCCACGAAGTGGGGGGCCACATGGTTCTTGAGAGTTGGATGCAATGCAGGCTTCTGCCACAAGGAAGCCTGTGGGTGTCTTGGGTCTGAGGTGACTTGTGCCCAGGCAGGGGTGGGGGCCCCACCCTGCTTGGTCTCCCCCTTCCCCTGGCCGGAGGCTGGCCTGTTTCATCTCGCATGACTGTAGGGTGGGAGGGACACAGTGGGGTGTTCCCAGTGAGGTCTCCAGCCATTGGAGACAGATCCTGGGCGGGCCCCACAGACCCCAAGAACCACCCGGGAAGGATGGAACAAGGTCAGTCTCCCTCCTGACTCCACCACAGCTCGCAGGAAACAGCTGTTTACCTGGGTGAGGTGCTCTGCTGGGCGGGCAGCCAGTTCCTGAGCCTCACTTCCCCCTCCAGGATCCAAGGCCCCCCAGGAAGCAGGGGCCGGCGTGGGAGAGCGGGGCGGCGCGGGCAGCCAGCTCACGGAGCGCTGCCAGGAGCTGTTTGTGAGGGAACGTGAGCCGGCCTTGTTGTGTACACAGTGTCGACCCTAGCAACCGCCCCAGCCCGGGCCAGAGTGGACGCCCATCCTCCCTGAATGCCCGGCCACCACCCCTCGGACACGACGCCTGCCTCCAAAGGGGAGTGGGACAGGCGTCGTGGACCTTCAGCCCTGAGGGCCACGAGTGGTGCTGACCATGCCAGGGACATCTGCTGTTGTTCCCAGGAAAGTGGAATCAGTTATTCAAGGGAGAGGAGGCCAGGTCCCAGCCTCACCTCGAGGCAGCCTTGGCCAGTCAGGGAGCTGGGCTCCTTGGCTCTGAGGTGTGGCCCAGTGGGACAAATCCCCATGTGAGTGACGATGGGTGGAGGTCTGTGCAGGCATTCGGCCATCCCAGATGAAGACCCTCCACTGGGCCCAGTTCCAGGGAGGCCAGCAAGAGAGGCAGAAGGAGGCTGGGGGCTTGGGCAGGCCCCCTTAGCACTCAGACAGGGTCTGGCCAACCCACTTGCCCTGTGTGTGCTGCCGGAGGGATCACACATCATGCACTTTGAGAGTCAGCACTGTGCTTCTCAGACGGTCCCTCTGCTTCAGGCCATTGGAAAGACAGTTTCTCCTGTGTCCGGGCGTCCATTCACAGCCTCTGGCCTGTGCCCCGGGAACGCAGTCTTTGGCTGTGATAAGAAATGGCTCCCCTGGGTGGGTGAGGGGCCTCCTCCACGGGCTCTAGGCTCTACGTCTGCCCGATACTCTGTTGCTCATTCACAAACCATGCAAGTGAACCAGCAAGGCTCCCCCAGGTTCACGGAGGCAGTTCCCCACAGGGCCCGCTGCCCTGCTTAGGGAGAGCTGCCTGGGGCACCTTGGCTTTCTGATTCTGCTGTTTTGGGTGGAGAGACACCTGGCTCCTTTGAGTATCTGAGTCACAGGGTCCCATATCCTCCGTAACTGGTGCCCTTGACCCCATCGCTTGGTTCCTTTCTGGGAGCCCCCCGGGGTGGCACTCTTCATGATGTGCTGGGGAAGTTGTCGGGCCTGCACAGCAGCTGCTGGCTTCTCTTGCAGCTCCAGCTCCAGAAGTCTCAGTACCTGCAGCTGGGCCCAAGCCGTGGCCAGTACTACGGTGGGTCCCTGCCCAACGTGAACCAGATCGGGAGTGGCACCGTGGATCTGCCCTTCCAGGTGAGCCCCCGCCCCCCCCAACAGCCTCCCACCTGGTGCACGTCATATCCGGGCCCCACCCTGGCCACAGAGCGAGCAAGCGTGTGTGTTGGCCACTGCAGATAGCTGGGGTCACCAGATAATTGCGGCAGCCCGCCTCCCCCCGCCCCCACCTACTCTTTTCCTGTCCCTGGGAAGACTTGGCCAGGCCTTGCCTGGATCCCCCTGCTTGTCCCCTGTCAGCAGAGCCCACAGTGAGGCTGTGGTCTGGCCAAGAGCATTTCGGCAGCCGCTACACCTGTTGGCCGGCTGTGCGGCATTGGGAACCGCTCGGGGCCTCTGGGGCTTGGCTCCATCCTGCCTCACTAATCCGCAAGCCCAGCAATTCTCAGAAGGAGGCCCTGTGGCCTGACCCCACTTGTCTGCAAACGTTTCTTGGCAGAGACGCACACAACGCGGCTCCCGCAGGCCACACAGCCGCCATGCATGTCCTTATCATAAATAATGAGAGATAAGGCCCACCGCCTGGGTGCCGGGCTGGCCTCTTACCCCAGGCTGTGCCCTGACCCTGGTCTGCAGGTGGAAGCAGGGGTGAGGTGGGCCTGGGAGTGGAACCGGGTGCTGGGGCCGCCCCCAGCTTGTCTGGCCTCTGTAGGGACAGGTCCACCAGACGGCCACACACCCTCCCCTTTTCTGGGACAGGGCCTCAGAAACAACCACGTCTGTCCATGTGTTGACAGGCCAGGTGGAGCCGGGCCCGTCCTGCATGGAGTTCAGTCCCCCACCCACCCGAGTCACTCCTCAGCTCCTCCTCCTCCCACACTACTGCTGGGATGCAGGAGGGCACTGGCCCGGGGTCCCCTAGGCTGGCTCAGGGTCCACCTGGCTCAGCTCCGCATCCCCTGGGTTCCTTGGAGCATGGCCCTCCTCAGATGGCCTCTTTGCTGGAGCAGACACATGGGGCTGTTGCGCCAATCCTGAATGTGCTCCAAGACCCTGACCTCTTTGTCAAGGCCCATCCTAGTTTGAGTTTTCTCCCCTCCTCCTGCCTCTCCCCTTCCTCTGTTTCCCCTATCCCCTTCTCCCTCAAAGGGAGCATCTCTCTGGGCAGCCCCCTGGTATGGCCCTGGCTAGGGCTGGCGTAGAGCCTCCTCGGGCCAAGGGTATCCTGGGACCTGTTGGGCATCCCGCTGGGGGGCCGGATGAGGCAGGAGTGTCTCAAAGTATCGGTTCTTTGCATTTTCAGCCCAGCGGATATCTGGGGGAGGCCCTGGCAGCGGCTCCTGTCTCTCTGGTAAATGAGCCCCTGGGCTGAGGCCTCGGCGTCCCTGGCACGTGCGCGGGTGCTGGGTATCCCTGCGTGGTCGCCCTAGTGGCCTGGCGGGAAGTGTCCTGTCTGCCAAACGGAAGTGGATCCACTCTGCACCTCCCCCTGCCCTGTGTGGGGAAGTGTGTCTAGTTGCGTCAAGAGGCCCCCGCCTGGGGGATCTGAGCATGGGCATCAATGCTGCATGGTTCGTTCCTGTGACACATGCACATGTATGTGTGTGTGGATCCCAGGTACAGCCTGGTGAACCGGGCTGTGGCCGGGCCCGAGCTTCTCTCTGCCTCTGGCTCCGCTTCAGCTGCCTTGGTTCCCCCCACCCCCACCCCCCGGCCTTCTAAGCATCTCTGGGAGGAGATGAACAGCCCCTGCCCTCCGGTGTTTGTGCCTGGATGGCAAGGTTCCCACCTTCCCTCAGTCACTGAAGTCTCCAGGCCCAAGGCCTTTTGGAGGCAAAAGTGCAGGAAGACCCAAGCTGGCAGGATTCTGTCTGGGCCAGAGAGAAACAGGGGGCCCCAGACTCCAGGGAGATCGGTCAGCCCTGAACACTGGCCCAGGCGTTCGGACGGGTAGGGAAGAGCAGTGATTCCAGCCAGTGGCAGTCTTCCGGAAGGAAATTGCTTTTGCCTGGTTGCCCAGAGAAGACAGAAGGGCCCAAGGGCCAGATGGTAGGGCGGGGGGACTGGCTGCCTCCAGAGCTGGCTAAGGTTGCCAGTCTCGCCCCAGTCAGATGGCGAGGGGCCCCATGGCACCAGGGCAGGCAGGGAGCAGGCTCCCAGGGGCCCCAGGGGCATGGAGCTGGGAGAGGGAGCAAGGTCTGGCTGGAGGCCTCGTGCCAGCCCCAGGTGCTGGAAGGAAGCCCCTTCCAGCCAAGCCGTGGGCCAGGGCTCCGGAAAGCGCTTGCACTTGGCTCCAGTGGTGAAGGGATGAGGTGGTGGGGGAGGGCGTGGGGGGCTCATCTCAATCAAGCCCGGCCAGGGCTCAATAAGGAGCCTCTGGGGAGCCAGCACTTGGCCAGGTGAGCCCCTTGACGTCCTCGGCTGGAAGCCCTGGGGGCTGTCTTTTGGCAGGCCCCTCCAGGGATGACGTGGGTGGGGAGAGGAGGCCAGCCAGGCCCAGGGAGAGAAGGCGGAGGCCTGTTTGCACCTGGCGAGGCTGAGGGGCACTTGGGCCGTCTGCACCCCTGGCACCCCAGCCGGCACCGGGCCCCGAGCTTGTGCTGCGCTGCCTGGCCCGTGCATGCCAGCCGCACTGCACGCCTGCCGCCCGGCACCCAGGATCCCCAGCTCGCCCCTACCCTGGCAGTGCTCAGAGGCTGGGGGGCCCTGGCTGCAGGAGGAAGCCCGTCTGGGCTGCAGAGTGGGGACAAAGGGTGTCTCAGGAGTGGGTGGGGTGGGCCCTGAGGTCAGATCCTGGGGGCAGAGCTGCATTGGATCTCAGGCCACGGCTGATAACTG